GTAGGTGTGAATGTGAGTGTGCTTGGTTGTCTGTCTCTAAGTGTAGCCCTGTGATAGACTGGTGACCTGTCCAGGGCATCCCCTGCTTTCACCCTGAAGCAGCTGGGATAGGCTCCAGTCCCCCGCTGAGGATTAAGTGGTGTATAGATACTGGATGGATGGATGGATGGATGGATGGATGTTACTCAATAGCCATACCAAACTCAAGCAACGCACCCACTACTGACATTTAAATTACCATTCACCTCATTTAGTCCTGTGTTGTTGTTGTTGTTGTTGTATTTTCAAAATGCTTAAAGCAGAAATTCTCTGGAAGAAGGTGAACTTGTTGGTGACAGCTGAGGAAACCTGAGTCCTGATTTTAAACGAAGGCTTAAATAGTTAATCCTGGTATTAACAACATGACTGACAGTTACCCATGATTACTCACAATTATTTCGACAACTGAAATTAAACAGTTTTTCTCAACAACAGCATACATAACTGCTCCTGTACTGTGCCCCCTTATAAACAAAACAACGTATCCAGAAGGTGAATATCGGGTTGAGCTGTGCATTAATGACTCAGAATGCTGTTTGTGTTCAAGGCTGTCACAAGCTGATGTTGACACTGGATAGCAACCGGACTGACGTCTGTCATGCTAACTTAAAGAAGACACTTGAAAAAACATCCACATTGGCTTCCTTTTGTAACTAATGTCTCCCCATCTACAAAATAAGAACATATTTCATCCAGTGTCTTTGTTTTTTAAATAAACTAGCAAAACAAACTCTTACCATTTAAGTTAACTGCTACCACTTTACAGACAGGAAGCTAATTCAGTGTTGCTAAAAAGTGACTGAAGCATCTTAAAAATGCTTTTTGTTTGTTTTTTTTTTATTTAAAAATACCTGGTAAGGGTCAACAATAATAATTAATGATGATGCTAAATAGCACTAAATAGCATGATGAAATGTTAACAAAAAAACTGGCTGTCCATAAAGACTGCTTACAGTTAGCTATTAGCTAACAGGCTAACTTACAACCCAGGAAGCGCCATGGAAGCTAGTAGAGACCGCCAACTCGCGCGCGAGTGTGTAAATATAATCAGTTTTACTCACCAAAACTTGTGAGTATTTTAACTCAGAATCAATCCTCCGTTCTTTCCTCACGAGAAGTTCAGTCACTACTTTGTGCAGGCAATTCGTACATCTCAGTTCCAACAATATCCCCATCGCATCCGGAT